CTGATAGAAGACACAAGACTGCTTTAACGGCTGATGAGAAAAGGTATTTAGCAGTTTAAATTTATACTAAAATATTTGCACTTCCATGTTTTGTGTACTGTGGGAGACCAGATTTAGTGAATGCAGGGTCCTGGGTTTAGTAACACTTTAAAGGCAGACACTCTCTCTGGGCTGATGAAAGAGGCTTTACCAGTAAGTTAACACAGTCTTTCATTTTCATTAGTTCTGACAGCATCTTTTCTACTTCAAAGTTCTATGAAATGCAATAAATGGAGGCAAGAGGTAAGACAAACTGGCAGCCCAACAGTGAGGGGACACTTCTGCTAAGAGAGGCAGAGAAATATTGACATACAAGATTATTACAAATGCCCATTGGTGACAAATTCTCCTTAGGGGAATAATGGCTATATTGGTTCTAAAAAAGAGGCAATACCATCAATCTTACTAAATAATGGAAAACATCACAGTATGTAGGTCTACTAAAATGTTGATAACTACATAACCACTGTAAAATGTAAACTGATAATAGATGGTGTGTTGAATAACTAGAAAAGACAAGCAGTCATTTGTAAAATGAGTGTCTTTTTAGCAAAGCGTGTCATTACTTTAGTCATATTTATCAAATAACAATCAACATGATCAATGTTCATGACAGTTTTCAAACAAAACCAAATTAAAGCGATCTGCAAAAGAAGAACCCTTTTTAAAGGCATTTTAGGATGACTAACGCTCATAGACTAACTTCTGAACTAAATTAAATAATAAATTCTGAAATTACCAGTAATTTCTGCTTTTATCATCTCGCTCTTATCTTGAAAAGAGCTTTTCAGTGTTCTAGCAAATCAACTTCAATATATTGTTGTTTCATAAAAACACCAGAATATCAATAGAATTGACAAGAATATACGCTAATGCATCAGTAGACCACAGACTAACCTAAATGAATGATTCTTTCAATAATGCATAAAGTTTAGCAAAACAGGACCGCATACGTCTATAAGCTGAATTATTAGAGTATTTATTTTCATTCTTAAAACCTAAGAGATGTAAATGAACACAATGGCTGACTCCATCCCATTATTTTAATACCTACTAATTAAACTTGGAGTAATTAAACAAAGTTTCTGTTCACAGTTAGTGTTATTAGCTTTGTTGTCTTCAATCAGTTTCATGGGGTGATTAAGAATGAGACAGTTAAATGCATCAGATTTTACTTTGAGCGTGCAAAGCCTAATGCTATAATGAGCCAAGTAGTGTTTATGTAGCTGATTTTCCATCCAGCAATATTTTGCTGCATGCATAATGTAGTGCTTTAAAATGTTCCTTTGTACAAAACTTTAACAAGACAGCGTTTACTGCATAATTTGTGTGCTTATTCCGAGTAAGCTTGAAAGGCATTAAACAGAAATAGAAAATTATTGCAGATAAATCTGGTCAAACATGTTACATTGATTAGAAGGTAGGCATAATTTCCCTGCACATAATTATAACTAGAGATCGAGAAATGTATTTCTTAAGTAACTATTTATGGACAGCCACACACAAGGCTGCAATGATGAGTGAATCGGAATGTTGGTGCACAAAGACGGTTCTTCCTAGTAGTAAATGTGACATAGTTGCTCTGTTATTTTCTCCATTTATGTTTCTTTTTTTTGTGCTTAGCCTGAAAGCCTATCTTGAGTTGCATCTTCAGACTTGCTGTAATGCTTTCTGGATGCTACACAATCTCCAATTTTTGTCAAAGTGAAAAGTATCTTTGTTCCACCACCATAAAAAGGTGCAAATATGATCATTGTGAATATGCACTATAGCACTTTTGGATAAGTCATCATTTCTTTTCTTTTTTTGTTTTGTTTTTAAATTACTAACAGTAGCTGCACTATAGGGGTTAGAGGGTACAACTTCCTCAGATGGGATCTGAGTAATGACAGCTATTGCCTGTCGCAAATGTGCGCACCAGAGACTGACGCAGTCTGCCATTTGGTTAAGAGTAGCATGTTATTCCCTCATTCTCCTTCCCCCTCCCTTCCTGAGAGGCACAGTGACAGATGTGTGTGTGTTAAAAGTGTCACAGGCCAGATCCCAGCAAGGAGCCATGTGGTGGGGCACTGCCCAAAGAACCTGTGTAATTTCACACCTCATAAAAAGATAACTGAGCCTTCCCAGGAGTTCAAGGCATTCCCAAGAAGCCCACACCAGATAAAATTTTTAAAAGATCCATTTTTTCCCCTATGTGAGAGACCTACATAAAAGCTGGACATTTCATCGGATGGACGATGAGCAGGCAAACAGTTTGATGGGTCACTCGCCTTATCTTGGGCACACGGGAAGGCAGAGAAATAGATCTCATGAACCGTGTAGCATACAATTTCATAATTCATATCTAAATAATCCCCAGACTTGTCTGCATGATAATATACCCGTGGGTAGACTGTCGCTTGTGCAGATGGGAAGTTATGGACCAGAATATGAATTATGAAAGATGTTGGCTCCAGTTTAGGGTCCTGCCTGATGATCCCTCCCTAAACAGGGGATTGGTCTTCTACTTCAGAACCACCCCCTGATGGGAAACTTTAAAGCAGGCTGTCAGGCCTAAGAGAAGTTAGTTTTTGAAAACATCCCCAATTTTAACATCAATATACCACTTGGGGAGACCTGTGCCTTTCGCTCTGAAACGTGATCTGCTTACATCCAAGGCTTAATGGCAAGTAACTTAACCCTTTAACTTGTCCCTGTTATCTCTTTGCTGTGCTCTGCTGTTTTCTATATATATTATATATATATATATATATATATATATATATCTTAGTTACATCTTCTCTGTAAATATTTTTATTGCACCTGTTTGACCCTTTTAGTAATAAATCTCTCTTTCTGAAAGTGTTGAATTGTTTCTATAGCTCTTAATTGCAATTTACGAATCCCTGCCTTTGAAGAGACGCTACTGTTTGTTTTAACCCTCTGTATAACAGGCCTATATTATGACCAGGTTATGCAGTCGACCATATATCAACCATTATAGTGTTATAGCTGAGCACCGAGTTTCCTCTTTCTCTGAATAAAAAGGAGGTGGTGGCAGTGTGAAGGGTTAATTGCGTAATTAACCTGACCCAGTAACAATCGATTCAGGCTGCTGGCACATCCATCGGTATCCATTAGCTGGAAAATTGTTATGCAGGGTGCAGCTGGGTGTGGCATTGTTACGCATGTCACATCGCGGTTTTAGATCGGCCAGTCCTTCGGTCACGAGTTTGGTGAGAAGGTCTGGGGTCTGACACCGCGACCGTGACATTGCCTACCTTTGCACATGATTACTACACAAATAGATATTCCTCACTTTTCTGATATAAGTAGGACCTAATTTTTTTCTGCTTGTAAGTATCTAGCAGCAGATGACATCTAGTGAGTGACAGGGTACAACTCTACCAAGACTACAAGGGCAGATGGGATCTGAGTTGTAACAACCATTTCCCAAATCTGTCCATGGGTTCTGTGAGAGTAGAGGCTTTCAGTGACCTCACCTACAGTATATTAGTAAGGTGAGGAGAATCCTCCCTACATACAACCACCATGTGCAGAGGCTCTGAGGGTGCAGTTGACATTATCAAAGGTATTTGTGAAGATCTAAAATAATTTTGAGAAGCTTTACTCTCGTGACCTTCCATTGTTTTGGGTCTGCAGTTTTAGACCATGGCTGATTATCTCCATCTTACATAGAAATACATCCAATATGGAATTTTATAAAGAATACATGTGTAAAACTTCCCATTAGCCCATTTATTTACTAAAATATTAATTTAAATGTCCAAATGCCAGTGATGTAAGAAAGGAACGCTATTACATTTTTACTTGTCCTCATCATAAAGCATGATTGTAACTCTAAACCTTATAGCAATACTGAAATGCAACACTCTTACATTATCAAGTGTTTTTTCAAGAATATATCTCAGAGAATATCCATTTTAAAAATAGAGATTAGATGTAGTAGTTTATGAAGAACTTGTTTTAACAGCTGTTTATCAGAGTCCATATTTATGAAAGATCTCCAACAATATACTTCAGGTTAATGGTTGTGTGGGAGGGCAGGAAGGTACATGATTCACCTTCTTTTCACTATTTTTAAATGACCTATGCCAAGTACGTTTTACTGCAGGTCTTTTTTATTCCTCATTCCTATCATGTAGTATGGAGTGTTTTGTTTTGGAACCCTTATCCTCAGAAAAAACACAAGGGTAAATGAAGATGGACATACTTATAGCTCAACTCTGGGCTCCTCCTATCCACATCCCCAATATTTTTTACTTTTTTTTTGCAAGAGTAAGGACAGGATGTCCTTACTCTTGCAGTTGACTGATTATGGGCCAGATAGAAAATTTTCCAATAGGCACAGAAGCAACAATACATTTTAGTGAGGGGAAGGTAAGAAAGTTGTGAGATTTGTATAGCCATATCTGCTATCCTGTACGTGTGATTCTTAAACGACTCATGTTATGTTCTAGTGTAAGAGATATCACCAGTGGAAACTTGACAGATGTTCTAACTAAACCTCGCTGTATTCAAAAGCTAAAAAAAGTTTTTGTAGTTGGCTTTAGGTAATTGAATAGCAAGATGTTAAAAAATATGTTAAGAGCACCGCCTATACAATACATGTATTTAATATAAGATCAGAAGCAATACACATAACATGCTAAGATAAGAACTGCTTTCATTAGCTGTGCTGTTAACATAGTCACTGATTAACAATTGTGGTAACCAATGTTTACTCAAACCTGACTCTCATCTGTTGGAAATTTTTGCAGAGTTGAAATGTCATTCAGTGGATATAAAATGTCTACACACCCCTGTTAAAATGTCAGGTTTCTGTGAAGTAAAAAAATGAGACAAAGATAAATAATTTCAGAACTTTTTCCACCTTTAATTGCTTTCCCACCGCCCTATAGCAGAAATACTGCTATAGGGCGGCAGGGGTGCGCAAAATCACATATGTATATATATACGTGATTTTGCATTTCCAGGTAGGGGGGGTGTGTGCGAGCCGTACACGTGCCCTACCTACACCGCTATTCATGGCCTAGGCTGTCAATCAACGGGTCCCGGCTGGTGATTACTCGCCAGCACCCGGTGATCGCTGAATATTACCGACGAGGAGAGAGAACTGTATGTAAATAATACAGTTCTCTCCCCTGTCAGCTCATGCACACTGCTTTGTATGGCTCTGCATATCAGAGCCATACAAAGCAGTGTGCTTACAGTAGAAAGCACAAACACAGCTTACTGTGAAACAACACACAGTTAACCCTTTGATCGCCCCACATGTTAACCCTTTTCTGCCCAATGCTATTAGTAGTGTCAGTGCTTTTTATTAGCACTGATCACTGTATTGGTGTCACTGGGGATGTCAGTGACACCAAGTCAGTTACCCCCAGTGTCAGAATGCCAGCTGCAATCCCACAGTCCCACTATATGTTGCTGATCGCTGCCATTACTAGCAAAAAAAATAAAAAAATTCCAGTATCTATAAACCTTTTATAAATGCTATAATTTTCACGTAAACCAATTAATTTACACATATTGGGATTTTTTTTTTAGCAAAGACATATAGAAGAATACATTTTGGCCTATATTTATGATGAAATTTGATTTTTTAAATTTTTTTTACTGGACATGTTTTATTGCAAAAAGTCAAAAATATTGTTTTTTTTTCAAAATAGCGTAAAAAATAAAAAACGCACAGGTGATCAAATACCACCAAAAGAAAGCTCTATTCGTGGGAAAAAAAGAACATCAATTTCATTTGAGTGCAGTGCTACATGACCGTGCAATTGTCAGTTAAAATAACGCAGCGCCATAACGCATAAAAAATGGCCTGGTCAGGAAGGGGAGTAAATCCTCTGGAGGAAAAGTGGTTAATGTAACCTATAAACTGTACAACTTAGTTGAACAACAAACTGAAAACTTTTAGGTGGAGGGAAGTAAAAATAAAAAACTAAAATAATACGGTTGCATAAGTGTGCACACCCTTAAACTAATACTTTGTTGAAACATCTTTTGATTTTATTACAGCACTCAGTCTTTTTGGGTATAAGTCTATCAGCATGGCACATCTTGACTTGCAGAATATTTGCCCACTCTTCCTTGCAAAAACACTCCAAATCTGTCATATTGCGAGGGCATCTCCTGAGCACCGCCCTCTTCAGATCATCCCACAGATTTTCCATCAGGTCCATCAGGATTCAGTTCCTCTTCATGTTCAGCTTTATAGCAGAAGCCTAAAGGTTTTATGTTAATATTGACTGGTATTTGGAACTGTTCTTAATTCCCTCTACTTTGACTAAGGCCCCTGTTCCAGCTGAAGAAAAACAGCCCCAAAGCATGATGTTGCCACCACCATGCTTCAATGTGGGTATGGTGTTGTTTTGGTGATGTGCAGTGTTGTTTTTGCGCCAAACCTATCTTTTGGAATTATGGCCAGAAAGTTCAATCTTGGTTTAATCAGACCATAACACATTTTCCCACATGCTTTTGGGAAACTTCAGATGTGTTTTTGCAAAGTTTAGCCGGGGTTGGATGTTTTTCTTCATAAGAAAAGGCTTCCGTCTTGCCACTCTACCCCGTGGCCCAAACATATGAAGAATACGAAAGATTGTTGTCACATGGACCACACAGCCAGTACTTGCCAGATATTCCTGCAGCTCCTGTAATGTTGCTGTAGGCCTCTTTCATCAATTTTGGTGGGATGTCTAGCTCTTGGCACTGTTGCTCCATATTTTTCTCCACTTGATGATGACTGTCTTCACTGTGTTCCATGGTATATCTAATGCCTTGGAAATTCTTTTGTACCCTTCTCCTGACTGATACCTTTTAACAGTGAGATCCCTCTGATGCTTTGGAAGCTCACTTCAGACCATTGCTTTTGCTGCAGGATGCGACTAAGAAAATATCAGGAAAGACCTACTTGAACAGCTGAACTTTATTTGGGGTTAATCAGAGGCACTGTCACGGTGTAAGGTCAGGTTCAGAGACCAGTTGCTATAGCAGTAAAAGGCTTACCTGAAACCAGCAGTATAGGTACACCAGCGGATCCCCCTGGGAATGACGCAGGCTCACCTGAGGTGCGGGGTCTACGTATTAACCGGTATTCACCAGAGCTCCTAATGGTGGAGATGGATTGGGCTGCGTGTTAATACCAGGTCGCAGATCTCAGGATCACCCCACCAGGGAATGAGCAGACTGGAAACCAATAGCGGATCAACAGGTTAGGGATCAGACGAAAGCAGAGTCGGTCACAAGCCAAGGGTCGGTCACAAATGGTAGCAGATCAATCGTAGTACGTTAGGATGAGACAAAATCGTGGTCAGGAACAAGCCAAAGATCAGTAGCGGAGGTGTAGACAGCAGCAGGAACAGTAGCGGGATATTGGCTGGAAAGGCACAATAATCTGGCAAGGAGGAAGTCCAAGGACATGGCTTATATAGGAAGTTCATGGGAGGAGCAAGGAGTTCAAGGTTCAAGAGCAAACAAGGCACAAGGCAGGATTATCCAATAGATGAGGCAGAGTGATGTCCAGCATCCTAGGTAGCTCAGTGAGAAGAGTTACTGCCTGACACAGTAGAAGTCCCAGGTTCAAGTCCAGGCCCTGACAGGCACTTTAAATGATGACAGGTGTGTACTGACTCCTATTTAACATGATAATGAATGTGATTGCTTAATTCTGAACACAGCTACATCCCCAGTTATAAGAAGGTGTGCACATGAACTACATTAATTTAGTTTTTTATGTTTACTCCCTTACTCCCCCCCCCCCCCAAAAAAAAAAAAAAAAAGATTTCAGTTTGTTTTTCACTTGAGTTGTACAGTTTATAGGTCACATGAAATGTGGAAAAAGTTCTGAAATTAGTTATCTTTGTCTCATATTTTTACATCACAGAAACCTGACATTTTAGCAGGGGTATGTAGACTTTTTATAACCACTGTATATGGATCTCTCTGTCTTTCTGCAGAACATTTTTGAACAAGAATATCTTTACACAAGGTTATCACTTCAAGGGTATATTGCATCAACATGTGAGGATGTGTTTTGCAATTATTGTGCTCACTTGGAAAACTCATGACTAAGTAATATTATTATCAAACATCCAGGGGACATGGATGACTGCAGGCTAAGTGAGCTGTTGATTCCCTTTTCATGCCCCCAGAGGGATTTGTGCGTGTGAATTCTGAGAACACACAAGTAAATAGCATATTCTATGTAGCATTATTTCTTACTCGGATTTTCCCAATAGCCTACTGTTGCTCAGAAAACCCATTAAGACAGCTGGCGTAACAAGACATTCGCAATGCTTCACCTTGCTGGTCTATACATATGTTCCTTTAGGGATAGTGCTAGGTGGGCGTCAAGGTGCCTAAGAGCAATTCACAATAAATAAATCAGAAGCATCCTTCTTATTGCCAAAGGTATTGATGTTTTCATAGCCACTTTATAAGCACCAACGTTACCCTAGAGATCTAGAGATAAGAGTCTGGACAGTACCAATGAATTTACAATAGAACTGTTCTAATCAATTTTGCTTTTTGGTTATTTCTACCCAGTATATATGGGTTGTGATTTAATTTTAAATGCAATTATGCTTGAAACAAAAATACAAAAAGTGCCTGAAATCTTTTTCTTAAAACTGTACTCCTTGGTCTATTAAAATAAAAAAATAGAGTAGCCAGTACCAGAAACTTGTACAGAAAAAAAGATATTTAAAGTGCAATGTAATGGTTTACCATTTCAAATTGTTGTCATTTAATGCGAAGTCATTAATCAGTTTTGTTCCCAAAAAATATTTGTCTGCGGGAATGTATTACATGCAGGAAAACAGCTTCTGTCTGTGATGTCACTGCAATTTCCTGGACTGCTTTTCCCAGCAGTCCTTAGAGCAAATTGTGCATAGACTCCTCGTGCATACCAATGGGCAGAGCACAGTGCTTGGCCCTACCCACTAGGAGCAAAGGAGGCATGTTCAGGTGGAGTTGCTTTGCACAAGCAAGCAGGTGGAGCTTGGGTAGCAATGTTTTAGGGGTTGCAGAATGCTCTTGTTTCTTTATTTTGTCAGTTCTTCAGTCTCCAGGAAGGAAATGACAAGAAATGAATTCATACCATACCATAATACCAATACACTTATTTGTGGTATTTTCACCATAATATAGTTACTCTACCTAAATACCAATACCTAAAATAGAAACTATCATTTTCCTAAACACAGTATGTATTTCTTGTATTAAACTCTATACAATGTTCTATTAAAGTGGCTTGTCTAGTAATTAATGTCTTAATGGCCTTCATTTGAAATTAATGTATGCAGAATGAATGAAGGCTTTTTTTTTAAAATTAAATGTCTATTATTTTATGAAAAAACTAAATTCACCCTCTTCTTTACATGTAACCTTATTAAAGAACATATTACTTGATAGCAAGTAAATGTTACTTAACAGTTTGTTAAATATTATATAAAAAAAAACATAATAAAAAAAGATAGATATATTGGTATTTCCCCTTAAAGTAACCCATGAAAAACCTGTGCAATCCAAAGTGACAATGCAAAGAAAACATGCAGAAATTCTCAGCAGATCCAGTGTTTTAGGTAGCTGGAGCTGTATGCAAATTTTGGCTCCTGAGCCTTCCTATTGGTCCCTTATTATTATGTACAGCTTGGATAACCAATGGGGACAAGTAGGAAGCTTGAGGTATCAGAAGGAGTTCAAACTGGTCAATAAAAAGGCCTGATAATTAATTAAGCTGTCCAGATCTGTGAATCTATAGATGTTTTGCATTGCAAGTAGCCTGTGGTTCTGCATTTTTTATACATGCAATTCGAATTGTCCAGCTTTGTGACGTATTTTCGTGAAAGAAAACCAGTACTATACATCTTCACTGAGAAAGAAAAGAAAAAAAAAAAAAAAAAGAATGTTTGCGGTGTTCCACAAATGTTCACCTAAACATATTAGTGACTAATAACATGATCACCACAATAAACAGTGTAACGTGTCCTGCCTTGCTCCCATTTTAATAACATTCAAAAAGAAATGATTCATTGGATTTGAGTCAGGTTATTACAATAACAGTTTGCCTCAGTTAAGTTTTGGTTTGGCATGCTTTCAGTCATTTCACTGCTGTATACCAGCCTATTTTTTTAATCCAGCTTCCAGCTAATTATAAGCAGCCAGCAAAGGTTGTGAACCCAGTAAAATCCACTTTCACTAAGTACTGCAAGGTAAGAATCACTGAAACAGCTGACAGTGCTATTTGATGCTGAGGTAAGAAGTGACTGGGAGTTCAATTCTTCCCCTCGTCTAATGGATTAGTAGTACTTAATTCCATCTTTTAAAGTGAAATCCCTACTGCATGAGACTTTTGTCATAACATATTATTGGCTATGTTATGAGATATGATCTTTACATTTGGTATCA